TCATTCCACCTCTTCCTGTTCCCTCTCCGCCCCCGAGGCCCTGCCCTTGCTCCACCTCTTCCTACCCCTGCTCCGCCCTCTCCTGAGGCCCCTCCGTCACCCCATCTCTTCTCACCCCCACTCCACCTCCTCCCTGATGCACCCCACCCGCTTGCTGCTTTCGTCCCTCCCCCAAGTGCCTCCCGCCAGCTGATTGGCGCTGAGCACCCCCTGTTTTTTCCACATGGGTGCTTAAGCTCCGGAGCACTCATAGAATCAGCACCTATGATTTAGATGGTGTCCAGAGAAATGGGAGGAAAAAGGGAGAGAGAGGCAGAGAACACAGTGTAGAGACAGCAAGAGAGGAATAAGGGGAGAGAAGGAAAAGAAGAAGCAGACACTGAAAACAACTACTTGGGGGAAAAGAGACACCATGACCTAATAGGGAGGGGAAAGAAAAAGTGGAGGGAAGCCAGGTAAGTGTAACAAAAGCAAAAGCTGCTGGTGAACCAAGCTGAATGAACAGCCTTCACACATATTTCACTTGATCATTTTCCTCAGTATCCATCAAATAACTTATTCAACAAATAGCTTTTTCTGGTATGCAATCAGCCATACCCGTAAGTCACATTTAATTTTTTTCAGTACATTATCTTGTTTGACAATATATTACAGTTAAATATAGTTCACACTAAACAGCACACAAATGTGCCTTTAAATTGCAGGAAGTGTGTTCTGATTGAGGGTGGGGTTGAGGGAAGGATGGCATATCAGTAGTATTTTTCACCCAGGTTAAAGGCTTGGACCTTGGTTGTCAATTAAATTTCTCAAACTCCGATTTATAATAATTGAAAAACATTGATGCAATGCAGTTCTATTGTTGTATTAATTTAATTATGTTGATAAGAGTGACAGTAACAACATGTACAAAAATAAAAGCTGTACATATAATTGATTTAGCTGAATCTTATTTCAAAACTGTGATGAAGGGGTGTGTAAAACTTTCTGAACCTAGCTTCCTGGTGAATTAGAACACTTTTCTAATGTCAGTCAGTCTCTGAAATGTGGCCTGTATGTAAGAGTTACTCTTTACATGAAGTGGGTCAGATTTTTTTATTTCAGTTCAGAACTCAAAGTGCTTTATGAAACGTCTTTTACCAACTTTACTAGTAGAGGATCTTATCTATAGAAAATACATATAAACTGGTTCAATAAAACAGGTTTGTTTGTATTAGTCTGGTGAAAAGCTTTGTTGATCTTCTGCTATTTCTATTTTAATTGAAGACACTCTGTGCACTTTCTGCTCAGAAGAATCCCATGAAAAAAAGTGGATTATTTGAGACTACAAATGCAAGGAAGGTAAAGCCAAAGCATTTGCTACTAGACCAGTTACAACTGCATTCAAGTTGAACATGTTTTCTCTACTCCCTGGTGCTTAAAATTTTGGGCCTGTTTTTTACCTTTTACTTGCACTGGATTTACTTGAATGTAATGCTGTTGACCTCAGTGAAGTTATTCCTGAATTATATTAGTGCAGATGATAGCAGAATCAGCCCTGTAGGGTTAAGACCAAGTTGAAAGTGGTAGAAAACCACACAGGTTAAGTAAGTGTGTGTAAAAATTCTTTTGACACTTTTATTTGTCTTTCTTATGTGGCTTTTCTTCTTTCATCTTGGACGCCTAGTATTTCCATAATTATCTGCACTTTAAAAAAAATAAAGTTTTTTTCCCCATACTGTTTTATTCCTTTGATCTATTGATCTGGAAAGGGCTATAAGGCTCACTGTTCCTGCCCTTTTGTTGTGCTATTTTGGCTGAGGTTGGAATCTTTGTCAGCTAATTATTTCACTCCCTTTTTCCAGTCCTATTTATACCTCTTAGAGGGACACTGTCAGCTTGAAAAAAATCTCACTTCTGTCTGAAAACTTTTTACCTGCCATTATTTTAGTTAGCACCAAAGGTTATTATAGCAAAATATGAGATCTTTCTTCCAGCTTGATGACTTAGTGCATTTGACAGCACTTGGTGTACAGTCTTTTTCACTATTTCCTTGTATAGCTAGTCAGGTTCTGCTGTTTGTGTGGGTTTTTCATACAGCATCAGGGGAAAGAAAAAAGGTAAGAAAATGTGATTTTTAAAATCACAGAATTGTCAAGGGGACTCAGGGGCAGGTGTAGTCCAGTAACTGAAATGACTGTACATTGAATTCATTTTTCTAAATGGACTAGATTTCAGGTAGACAGTGTTACTTTAAAATTACTAAGAGGGTCTGGTTCTCCAGAACTCTGCACTGTGAATAGTCATTTACACCTGTGTAAAGTTACTATAAAACAATAACAAATCAGAATGGTAGCAGTTTACACCCACAATAAGCAGTTATAAGGACTTCCACAAGGAATATCCAGGAGCCTTTGATGCCTGAAGCATGTTGGGTGCAGATTGAGATGAGGTGGTCATGACTCCAGCTGTTCTTGGGTGGCACAGCTCCTGTAGGGGCCATTGCAGTGGTGGTGCAAGTTAGGGCAACCCTTAAGGCTGCTCTAAACTGTGCTTGACTTGATCTAACCCCCAACAACCCCAGAATAGGGAAGGTGCATTGGCTTCCCCCAGACTGAGCACTAGCACGGGGATGAATTGGAGCTAATGCTTTGAGATCTATGGATGGAAAGCACTGTATAAGAGTTAGATGTCATTATTATGACTATGAATGGGTGTAAATGATTACACAAGGTGCAAAGTAATTGAGAATCAGGCCATAATTTTTAAAACTTGGAATACAACTATAAGTAGAGAGAGTCTGCAAATGAGAATTTCAACCTGGTAAGTGGATTATCTATCAATGTATTGTGGAATTCAGTGCCGGTACTATATATATAATAAATCTAGGGAAGAATTCTGTGCCTGCCAAATCCTGCATTTCTTAGTCATTCCTTACTACAGCGAAATTCCCATTAACTTCATGGTAGGCAGAGTGGTTTAGTGGTCAGAGCCCTAGTTGGAGAACCAGGAGAGCTGGAGTGGTATTTTCAAAAGCGCTTAAATGATTTATGATTACAAGTCACCTAGGAATTTCTGAAATTTCTATAACTTGGTTTTATTCTTCGTCCAGATATAGGGTGACCAGATAGCAAGTGTGAAAAATCAGGACTGGGATGGGGGGTAATAAGCACTTATGTAAGACAAAGCCCCAAATATCAGGACTGTCCCTATTAAATTGGGACATCTGGTCACCCTATCCAGTTACTAACTTGGTGTGTAAATTTGAGCAAGTCACTCAGCTTCCCTGTGCATCAGTTTCCTTATATATAATAATGCTTACTTTGCTTAATAAAATACTTTGAGATTTATGAATGCTAAAGGCTTCACATCATGGTAGTAACCTCCTTAGGAATATCTCCATAATTCAGTACTTAGAGATCTTATTTATTGTTCTGTGCTTACAAATGGAGATTGGAGGAGAATGCAAGAATGCAACAAAAAAATTAACTACGAGTTAACTATGTTTTGATGATATCTTGAAACAATCATGTTGTTTTGTTTCTTTAGATATAGTACATTTGACTTAACTATTATTTTTTGAGAAAGTAATACAATTAAAAATGGGTCCCACAGCTGCAGACTTCCTTTCCTCCTATTCACTTCAGTCTCAGTACCCCCTCCAGATCTATGTACAAAAGCTGCAAGGATCATGTATCAAACCTAGATGTTTCCAGAGACATCCGGGGGCAGAAAATCAACCTGCCTCAGGTGGAGAAGCCATCGGAGAAAATTTCAGCACCCATCCAGTCTGTGGATAAAAGTAAAGTAACAACAGACCACAGTCGATACCTCAGGGCTCGCTCAAACACTTTAGTAGTGCCTTTTCATAGTACTAGAGAGATTAAACTGGAAAACAAATCCACGTTAGATTTGCCATCTTCAAAGGTAGCATCAGAAGGACTGTCAGCCGAGACACACAAAGTTCCAGAGTGTCCAAATTGCAAAAAGGAAAGGAGAATCCAAAATGAGTACGACAAGTTCATTTTGCAGTCAAAGAGGGACAAGGAGGCCTTGCAGAAGACGATTGTGAAGCTAGAAGCTGAGCTGAAAAGATATGAAGAGCATAATAAACCAGCTCAAGGACAAGAGAGTGAAGTAACCTGCTCTGTGGTAAGTCAAAGATACCTGCCTTTTAATATGACTTCAGAGGAGTGTGCTTCTGTTATTCCCTGTGCTGCATATCAGTGTGCATATGTGGATCAGAGGGCATTGCAAGGAAGGAGGGAACTTTAAACAGAACCAACACTATTCCGTTCCAGATGGAATCATTCATCTTTTCTAATTATGTCTGGTTGCTATCTACTTTTTTGCTGTAATCAGACATGAGGTGAGGTGGCTGAAACCTAAGTAATGGAAATGTGTGGATTTAAAAAAAGAGAGAATATAACCCTCCCCCTACTCCCCACAGTTTTCCAGTATTTTCACTTTTGGTGGCATTAGTGTTCATGACATGTTAGAGGTAACGACATGACATGGTATGGCATGTTTATTATACAGCATTTTAAGTGCCCCAAAATAATAATGAATATTTTGCTGAGGTCTTTGGATACTCATTGGAGGGAGCCCTGTTGTAATGAAACAATGACTGAAAAATAAATGTTCATGTTTGGTCTTTACACGGTAAAGAACACTGCAAGCCAACCTGATCCTTGGTGTAATTCCATCATGTCTATATTGTACTGCAAAATCCACTTTAAAATAAAGCAGACTTGCCTCTAGAACAGTGGTTCCCAAACTTTAACAACCTGTGAACCCCTTTCACTAAAATGTCAAGTCTCGCGAACCCCCTCCTAAAAATGAATATTTCCAGGGATTTTCTCCTTTACCTGAGTATAAATTATAAAAGCAGTGATCTTGGAAATATAAAATTTGTTTTTATGACATGCTTATTACACACTATTTGTTATTAATTATTAGTTATCATTACAGTATTTTTATTGCATTATGAAAACGGCAACACTCTTCCAAGATCTCACTTTTGTAGCTTGTATCACTTTGAATAAGCCTGTTATAAGACAAGGCTCCTATGTTTCAGATGTGAAACAGCATGAAGGCATTTAAGAAGCCAACTCAAAGAGTTCCTCCTACACAAGCATTCAGGTCTTGAGCAGTCCAGGCAAACAATGCACGTTACAACAAAGCTTAAAATTGTTCATAATAATTTTAAAAACAATACTAGCTGCCTATATAATTTTAAAAACAGCAAAAAATATCCATCTCCCTTTCCATTTCTTATAAGGAGTCTTGACGTTTAAATCTCCTCAGTGTGATAGCAATGCTTGCTTTGATCTGCTTAGCTCTTGGAAGTCCAGGGGCTCCAGGCTGCTGGCCCCATGCTGCCCAGGATCCCTAGGGACATCTCTGACCGCCATTAGAGAATTTTTTCCCGAGAACCCCCTGTAACATTTTGCGAACCCCCAGGGGTTCACGAACCCCAGTTTGGGAACCACTGCTCTAGAATAAGGTGCTACTCAGTATGGTGGCGGAATCTGACTCTAAATGTTTGAAGTAGAAGAGAACTTCCGCTATTGTATATGGAAAATTATGGTGTCCCATAGCACAACTTTAGCCTTTTGTAATCCTGTTTTTAAGAAGTTTTTTTCACTTCCTCACCCCTTTAGAACTTCAGCAATAAACTGAACTCTCCTTTTCTGAACACCTATGGATTTACCCTTACAGAATGTTCCTGGAGAACTTAGAGAATAGAGCCTCAGTTCAGTGAGGTACTAAACCTAAACCTAAGCATTCGAATAGTCCCACTGAAGTCACATGCTTAAAAGTTAGATATGTGCTTAAGTACCTTGAGGAACTGGGACCTAAACCGACAGGCTACTTTAGAACTGTAATAAGGTTATTATTTTAAGTTCTGTAGAATGAATAGAGAATTCTATCCTTTCTTAGGTTTTTTTGAACCACCTATAGACTTCTACAGCAGGGATAGAATTATTTATTGAACTCTACAGTATGTTTCAATTTCCACAAGAATGTTATCATTTTCTGTTTAAAAATCAATAGGATAGAGAACTGTTCCATAAGGGATTTTTTATAGTGGGTTTTCCCCTAAAGCTATTTTTTTTTTTTGGTGTGCATATTTTTAATGCCTAGGCTCTGATCTTGCTAACAGCTATTCACATGCTTGACGTTACACAAGTTGTCCTGTTGAAGTCAGTGCAACTACTCCCATGTGTAAAGTCAAGCATGTAACTGTAAGATCAGGATCTAAGGCTTGGTCTACACTTACCCCCCAAGTCGAAGTAAGGTACGCAAATTCAGCTACGTGAATAACGTAGCTGAATTCGACATACCTTACTTCGAACTTACCGCGGTTCAGACGCGGTCCACACACGGCAGGCAGGCTCCCCGTCGACTCCGCGGTACTCCTCTCGCTGAGCTGGAGTACCGCAGTCGACGGGGATCACTTCCTGGTTCGATTTATCGCGTCCAGACCAGACGCGATAAATCGAACTTGGAACTTCGATCCCCAGCCGCCGAACTAGCGCGGCAGTGTAGACCAGCCCTAAGTGTCTCCTCCTAAATAAATGGCTGGTTAGCAACTCTCTGCCTTATGTAGGTTTATATTTTATCTCTGAATTGACTTGTTTGTCCTGGGTGTGACCAACCACAGCACAAGTTATGCTGGTGTGCAACAGCCAGAATCCATGAAAACAATAGCAACTTGGAATTATAAGTATTAACAAGATCCTCTTTTTTGTCATATGAAAACAAGAAATATAATGTGCATGGCGTCTATAAAATGTGCATTGACTCTTGCACCGACTTAATTTTCCCTTTTATTAAATCAGGAAGAACAGCAGCACCTGAGAGGGGAAGTTTCCCTTCTTGATGGTTTGGTAGGAATGTGTAAAAATGAACTAGCATATATGAGAAGCAGATCAGACCTGAACAAACTGGAAGAGGAGAGCAAAGGGAAGCAGCAACAAATGGTAAAAGTCAGTTTCACTTTTTGTTTTTGTTGTTTTTCCTGCAAAGTACTTCTGAGGTCTCAAGAATTGGGAGTATCTTTATAAAGCACTTTTTAAAAAAATCACACTGAATAGCAGAACTGCTTGAGAGATAAAAACACAGACGTCCCAATGGGTCAAGTTTTAAATATCAACTAGAAACTGAATCAGTAGAGAAAGAACTTAGTGAAGCCTGCAGAATCCAGTTTCATCAAGGATATTACCTGTACTGGGCTGTCTCCAAGAACAAGACTTGTAGTCTAGGAAGGATAAACATTCTTATAAATCAGACTTTTCTTTCCATATGTGTTTTCTCCTTCCCTCCTTACCTTCGTTGAAGAAAGCCTGAAATATGGTTGAATCTACTGAATTAGAAAAAAGTCGCAAAGCGTGATCTACCTGCTGCCATACACCTGAAATTTCATGAATTAACTTGTCTTGCCGGTTTGTCAACATGCAGTGTGACAATTTTTCATCCATGATTGCAACTGCAGTCTGGAAATAGTCTGATTTACTATTAGTTTTAGTGCAGAAGAGATAAGAGATCCATTTAAATCTGAAGGGAAACACAGGTAGACTTGTACAAATGAAGGACTTGACCTGAAGTATCAGAAATATAACATGGAAAATGTCCTGTTAGATAATGTTGCTTTTCCTTTGGATTGAAAATGATGGGTACTGACAGTGCTAATTTTATTTACTTTTAATTTATAAATGTTATTTACAAATTTAAATATTCCCTGCAACATTATGCTTATTTAGCTTTTCACAAGCACACAAAGTGTAAATACAGGATCCAACCTTAATTGATTTTGGTAGGAATATAAAGCACTAAGCACAGCTCAGCAGTGGTTGGCATGACATGGGAGAGGGGAAATCAAAGGAGCTTTGTACACCCTTGCTGCTGGAGACCGATCAGTCAAATCCTGTGCAAATAACCCCAACATCCTGATCCTGCAAAGACTTGCACATGTGCATAATCTTACACTATATATTGTACTGTTAAAGCAATGGAACTACTCACAGTGCATGAAGGTGTAAATCTTTGCAGGATTGGGGCCCAAATTGGCACACCAAAAAAAAAATCAACTAAATTTAACAATTGTAGAACCAATCTTCTCTAAGCATTATGTAACTGGTTCTTTTTGCAAAAATAAATAAATAACTGCAGAGTAAAATAGTGTTATTGTAACTATAGTGGAACCTCAGAGTTACGAACACTAGAGTTATGAACTGACCGGTCAACCACAAACCTCATTTGGAACCTGAAGTACACAATCAGGCAGCAGCAGAGACAAAAAAAGCAAATACAGTACAGTACTGTTTTAAATGTAAACTACTAAAAGAATAAAGGGGAAGTTTAAAATTTTTTTTTGATAAAGTAAGGAAAGTGTTTCTGTGCTTGTTTCATTTAAATTAAGATGGTTAAAAGCAGCATTTTTCTTCTGCGTAGTAAAGTTTCAAAGCTGTATTAAGTCAATGCTCAATTGTAAACTATTGAAAGAATA